TCAATATGCATCTATTAATATACTAATTAATATGTAGACTATTTGTGCCTGACCAGTGGCAGAGCCTTCCACACTCCTGCTGGTCTGATCGGCCATAGTTGGATACACTGTACCTTACCTCCAACATAGTGATGTCATTTTGGTCCTCTTCCAAAACAAAGGACAACATCAACCAACTAGATGCTGAAGATACAAAGGCAAAAATTAAATAGTCACTGTTCTCAAGGAGCTTACATTCTATTGGGGGTAAACAATATGTGCACAGCTAAAAAATTACAAAATACATAAGAAGGTAAATACAGGATAATTTGGGGAGAGGGAACAAGATAGCCCTTTGTCAGAGGACCCACTTAGACTGAGACTTGAAGGAAAGTAGACATTCTACGGGATAGAAGTGTAGAGGGAATGTATTCCAGGTATGAGGGGAAGCATATACAATATAAGGAAATAAAAAGAGTGTCATGTATGAGAAAGAAGAATCATAGAATTGTTCCTTTTGGCCCCAGAGAATAGAAATGGGAGCAATGGGTGAAAATTACAAGATGGATATCTGTCTGATATAAGGGGGGGGGAACCACTTAGTTGGGCTTTCTTAAGTGAAGGGGCAGCTATGTGGTACAGTGGATAGAGTGCTGGGCCTGGAGTTAGGAAGACTCATCTTCCTGATATCAAATCTGGCCTCAGACATTTACTAGCTGTGTGTTCCTGGGCAAATTACTTAACCTTGTTTACCTCAGTTTCCTCATCTGTAAAAGGAGCTGGAGAAGGAAATGGCAAACCACTCCAGTATCTTTGCCAAGAAAACCCCAAATGGAGTCACAAAGAGCCAGACACAACCAAAAATGACTCAACAACAGCAAAAGATAGCGGGGGGGGCTCCCTCCACTGAGCTCTTGAAGCAATTGCTACTTATTGAGGGTATTATGGAAAGAATCCTCAGTTTGGTGTGAATCAGCTGCTGAATTCCCTTCCAACTCTGAGAATTTTTGTGATTTACACTAAGAGTATCTTTCCTCACCATGTCCAAAGACTGTCCATTAATGGAGTGGCTTCAGTCTGAACCAGATCTGTCCCTGGCCTTATTCTGTTCAACATTTTTACTAATGGCCTGGATCAAAGCACAGATATCACACTCATCTAATTTTCAGGTAGCATGAAGCTGGCAGTAATTGCTAATATACTGGATGACAGAATCAGCATGCAAAAATATCTCACCAAGCAGCAATGATGGGCTGAGCTAGTGTGAAGAAATTAAAGGGAGACAAATACACTTAAGTTTTAAAAATATCAGTTCTACAAGTATGAGATGGGGAAGACAAGGCTGAAAAACAGGTTGAATGAAAGATCCCTGAACTGTTGGTTCATACGACAGGATTTATAATGAAGCAGACAATAAAAGGTAATGCAATTTCACTGAATGAACAGAAGCATTGTTTATAGAATGAAGAAGGCAGCAGTTCCATTGTCTTCTACCTTGGTCAGACCACCTCTAAGATATTATGTCCAGTTCCAGGTACAGTATCTTAGAAGAGATATTGACAAGCTGGTACTTGTCCAGGGCAAGGTGACCCAATTAAGCGAGAGGAGTTAAGATCATGGCATGTGAGGATGAGACCAAGGCACTAGGGACTATTTGATCTGAAGGAGAGAATACTTAGGCATGGTAGTGATCCTAACATTTGAGGGGTTATCATTAGACAGAGTTAAGTAAGACCCAGGTGCAGAAGCACAACAGTGAGTTTTCCACTAAACAAAGGAAAACATTCTAACTATTGAAGATATCTCATAATAGAAAGAGCTGCCTCATTACCAGAGGTATGTAAGCAGAAGCTAGATGCCTACTTGCCAGGGAATTTGTAAATGGGGTTCATTTATTTTTTGGATAATGGCTGGAATAAATGGACTCTATAATCTCTTCCAGCTCTAAGGCTATAATTCAAATTCTATAATTCACTTTCATCTAAGCAACAGCCCAAAGAATATACCTGATTGAAGAAGGGGAAGACCGTGGGATAAGGTGTTGCTGAGGCAACCCTTCAGGCCTGCTGAGATTGTGGTGGTGGTGGTGGTGTTGCTAAGGAAATTCTGCCAAGACTGTAATGACAGCTTCACCTTCGAGCCATACACTCTTCTGAAAAAGCCTTTGCTGCAAATCTCCAACAGCTTGATAGGTTGCCAACAAGTAACAATTATATAGTGCTTTGTAAATCTTAAAGTTCAACATTAATGTAAATTATCATTATCATTATCATTATTTTCGTCTTTCATCCCAGCATGCTCCTGCCCAGAAGTATGACTCTGTATGTAACACCTGCATGACACGCCTAACATGAGCTCCCACTTTCTCTCTAGGCTAACTTACTTATCCCAGCCTACCCTTATATTGGCAGGTCTGGGTTTCTAGAGAAGAAACCTTCATACAGTTACAATTCAAACTCTCTTAGGGTCCTAGGAGTAACATTGCCTTGGGAAAATGTGTTCCTCTGACATGCTACAATGGACCACTAGGTGGCGCCATAGTGCATAGAGTGCTGGGCTTGGAGTCAAGGACATTCGTGTTCTGATGGCAAATCTGGCCTCAGACATTTACTAGCTGTGTGACCCTGGGCAAGTCATTTAACTCTGTTTGCCTCAGTTTCCTCATTTGTAAAATGAGCTGGAAAAGGAAATGGCAAACCACTCCAGTATCTTTGCCAAGAAAACCCCAAACAGGGTCATGAAGAGTCAGACATGACTGAACAAAAACTTGCTATAATAGGTCCCATTACGTACACCTTTTTGCTTCCAATCTATACAAAATCAATTATTCACAACGACACCATTAACTTAAACATAAAACATTTACATTATGACAAAGTAAAATTAATAACAGACATCAAAATCTGTAAATAAACCTAAGTCACACTTGCCCACCAATGCCCACAGCATCTGCAGGGGAAAATGGAAAGTTACTACAGAAACTCAATAAGCAGACACATGATTGAGGCCAATTTGTGTGCTTGGGGCAGCTCCCAACTCACAACTGAAGTCCTTGAGATCCTTGGTCCTCTCATGAATGATTTGTGCCACAAGAAACTGCTTCTTTGCTAATTGATTCTCTTGTGGTCCTCATCACTCTCCTTCAGGGCAACTCTACTCTTCCTCCATTCTCAAACTTATAAAGTAGTGACAAGCTCTTTTTACTCGTGACTCCCTTACTAGAGCAATGTGATAGAGTTACACTACTGAAATGATAAGGAATTCCCTCAAGCCTCAGGTTGGCTGTGAGGTCAATCCAGATAAACCCTGACTGTTCTTCACTCAACTGGATTGTGTCATCTGATCAGCTCTCAGTAGCTTGTTCAGCAAAGCTGAGCTCATAGCAAAGCCTGCTCTTCATCATCTGCTTTTCCCTCTTAAAAAAGAAAGTAATCAGGAATTTACGTGACGAGGAAGGCTAAACCGCAGCAAAGTTCTGCTCCCTCATTCAAAAGGATCACAGACTTTCCACAGCCAATCCACAAATCAGTGTTGTTATTTTTTTTTTCTCCTGTCAGCAGCCTCCTAAGTATATGAAGCTTTCCTGTGGGCTGACTGCTCCTGCTAGTAGCTTCACCCTCAATTCCTGCTACATTATTAACTGCACTCTTTTTTTCTCTCCCAATGGGTACTTCAGACCTCTCAGTGGGTCAAATTAGAGCCTTCTGGTGCTCAGTAACTTCTCTCGCCCTTATGTAGAAAACTAACAAAATCTACCTGTTAGTTATAAAATGAACAATCTATTTAATTATTCCATACTCCCAAGCTATATGATTTAAAGGCAGTTAGTTTTAACCTCTCAAACTCTAATAGGAGGTACATGCAAATAAGCTTAAGGACTACAATGCTCCCGAGCCTCAGTCATTTCTCTGTCTTCAAAAAGGTTTTCTATGTTCTCTATTCAGTCCTCTTCATATTGTGGCTTTGTCACTTCTGTTCAAAAACTTTACACTTGAATGTTATCAGTTTTTCATGAGCAAAAGACCTTTTTTTCCGCTCCTTTTATACAACCCAGCTCTTCCTACAAAAGGAGTATTACCTTATATCCTTTATAAATTGATTTCTTTCTTTACACTCAAGTTCATTTTTGCCTTCTAAATGTTTAATAATAATAATAATATTAAATAGCTGCCATTTATTTAGCATTTTAAGATTCTCAAAGCACTTTACACATGTTAACATATTTGATCATTTTATGCCTGGTTTCAGCAACCAGACTATTCACGTAAGAAAGGAACAGTCCCTTATGCTTGATTGTGAAGGATACTTGATATGTATGCTCAAGTACTCTGACTCTACTCTTCCTCCATCCTCAAACTTATAAAGTAGTGAGAAGCTCTTTTTTACTAGATTTATGCCTAGGGCTTAAACTCACCTCTGGTAACATTTTAGCTCCTAAATTGACCTCTAACTTCCTGATAATGTTTTAGTGCATCAACCTGTTCCAGTCTGACCTGTTTTGTACCTTTCTGTTGTCCCCTTTCTTGGTGTCCCATGGCTTATTGGCCTAGCCACTTGACTACAATTCAATTGTACAAACATTTATTAAATACAATCTGAGCCAAAAAATATGCTAGGTGTGAGACATACAAAAAAAAATAGCCTCCAACACTAAGGAGTTTATAGTTTGATTAATTATATTTACTTCCTTCTATATTTCATCTCTAAATTATTCCTTGTTTTAGAGGAATTCTAACTATATCTGAATCTCTTCCCTAGTCTTGTACTGGGTGAAGAGTAGGTGGGAGAGTGCAGTAATGAGAGCTGTTCCAGCGCTGTACCTGGTTCTTGCCTGCTCCGTATTATCTGTTTGCAACACTACTACACCTGTAACAGGTTAAGCTTTTGGCAGTAATTGCTCCTGAGCTAGCAGCTCAGCCCTCCCCTGGAAGGAATTAGTTAATTAGGAATAGTCCTGGACCCAGTAAGTTCACGCCTCCAAGAACTAAGGGTGGGGGAAAGGATTTGTCCTTTTGAAAAGTTTTTCTTGGAGTCCTGAAATTTTAACTTAAACCATTGCATGTGGCCCTACTCATTGGATTTAGGAAAGAAATTGGAAAGGTAAGACTGAAAAAAGTTGGGGAGAGTCTAGGTTAGAGTTCATGTATTACTTAGAAATATGAGAAGATTTGAGAATCTTACAGAAATGAGAAGTCATTAATGCCAATGGATGGAATGTAGTGATTAGTACCACAATTTGCCTATATGCAACCTTTATTAAACCAAGCTTTATATTATCATAGAACTTTGTGTCTAACCTTACCTGGTTTTTGGATGGTAACCCAATAAGTAGGTTATTCATTTCCAAATTCAAGGCTGGAAAATTCTTGTTCTGTAATAGGGAGACTTTCTAGAATGGTAGCCCAAAAGATCTGAGTCTCTTTGGGGAAAAAAAAAGAAATAAAGGAAAGGAAAATATTTAAATGGCAGCTCTGGCAGAGAGGATGCACTTATGTTTCTTGGTCACATGGCTCAAACAAACTTGAGATATTTTTCTGGAAAGTCAGAGATTATAGATTGCAATACAGTGATGACTAATTTGCTGACAACACCCTGAGAATGGTGGGTGAGGAGGGAGGAGAACCTCCAAACAACTCATTCATGTAGGAGGAGATGGGTGAGAAAAAGAGGAAAATTGGTAATACTTGCCATGTGTTGTTTGTTTGGTTTTTTTTAATCTCAAACAGATATCTAAAGGATTAAGTTGCTGCAACATCTGATATGAATATAGGTGCTGAAAATATTACATTGGATCTAAGACAAAGAACTGGGAATCAGAATCTGGGATTTATAGTCTAAAGACCCTAGACTCACCCCCTAACTCACACCCATTGGTGGTAGAACATTCTGAGAGGTTCACTAAGCTATGGGAGAGCTACTTGGTACACATGGGTGGTGGGGTTGGGAGCGGGAAGTTCTTTATGCTTGATGACACATTTTTGCTGCTTTCTTTAGTAAGTGTGCAGGAAGGATTCTACTTTTACTGCTTACTCTCAGTGGGCAGAACTATGAGCAATGAGTAGAAGTTGTCCAGAGCCAGATTTAGCCTTCAAAGACCATAGGATCATAGATTTAGAATGTCAAAGAGTCTTAGAGGCTATTTAGTCTAATCTCCTCATTTAACTAATGAGGAACCGAGGCCTACAAAGGTTAAGTGATTTGCTGTAGATCACTGTGTAACAGAAGCAGAATATGAACCCAGTTCCTTTGATTATAAAGCCAGTGCTTCCCACCCCCCTTCCCCCGCCACAGTACCACACTGCCTCATGTTTCCAATTGATTTAGAAAGTGGAATGGGTTATCTCCATAGGTAATGAGTTCTAGAATATTGGAAATATCTAAGCAAAAACTAGATGAACACTCACAGGGTCTATTAGAAAGAAGATCTAGATACAGTCAATAACATTTTTGGAATGCACTCCCTTTCTCAACCTCTACTCCTTATAATCCCTAGCTTTCTCAAAGTGTCGTCCTTTACCAGAACCCTTTTCTGATGCGTGTCTTATATAATACTTTCTACCTCCTCAAAATTCGATCATCTTAGCTAGGCATAGAGGAGAACAAGCATTTATATTCCTGGGTCACATTGCTCACAACAGCTTGAGATTTTTTTTTTACATAATCATAGGATCTATGTAGCAATACAGTGATTATTAATGTGCTAACAAAACCCAGAAGAAATCCATGGAAAGAAAAAAATACCTTCATACAACCCATTCCGTGGTGGGGCAGGGAAAGGAGAGGAGCAGCTTGTGTCATGACATCACTTTAAATTTTACAAAACATTTTATATGCAGCCTTCCATGGTCAGTGACTAGGCTCGATGAGGAACAAGCCAAACTGAGGATACTCAAACACCCTTCAGATCTATACTATTTGATATGCTTTGATTGCAGCTGGATGATATTACATTATCATAGAATGTCAAAGAAGATTGTAGGTAATTTCTTCCAACTTTCTCATTATACAAATGAAGAAACTGAGGCCCAGAGAGGTAAGGCAATGTACCCAACTATTAATGGGCAGTCATTGTTCTTATTTGCTCTTTTTTTTCTTTCTCTTTTGTCTTTTGTAATGAGGATTATAGTTCTAGAGACAGAAGGATAGAATCAGTCAAAAACATTTATTAAATATCCACTGTGTGCCAGGCATTGTGCTAAGTACTGTAGTTACAAAGAAAGGTAAAAAAAAAAAATCTTTGCCGTTGAGGAGCTCACAATCTAATGAGGAGATCAAAACTGAACATTCTCATTTTAAAGATAAGGAAACTGAGGTGTAGGGTGAAAGGAGAGTGGAAAAAGTTGGAGGAAAAGTATCATCGGTGTTAATATAAATGGCACACTATGGCAAGTTTTGAAATTTTTCCCTGAAGAATTATGCAAGAGACTATAAGCAGGAGGTTCATGAGAACCCAAAGGTAATTGGACTGGAGCCAGTTGTAGTTTATTCTGGAAAATTAACTGGAGTCTCCCTGTTCTTCCCTTCAATAGCTCTCCGTGTTCCCAGAATAGTAAGGCCCCTACTCACAAATACCTGTCTTCAAAGAATGAAAGTGAGAAACAGCAAAATCATAGTTGAAATGGGCCAAACAGAGACATCTCATGGTAGAAACAAAGAATTGCACCAGAGTTTTTACAATCTAATACAGTACAAATCTAGGATTTTAATCAAAGTGAATCTCATTGTAATAGGAGATCTGAGTTGGTAGTGGGGGAGAAAGGAATAGGGAAGGTGTATTCTGTGGTCCCAAATGGCAGGTAATCTTTTAGTTAAAAAAAATGGCAATTAGAAATCTTGGGCAAAATGGCTTTCTAGGCCTCTGTCTTTTCACTGATAAATCAGACTCAGTTAATCAACAAGTCATTATTAAGTTCTTCATGTGCCAAGCACTGGGCTAGAAGATTGTGCAAAGAAGCTGAACTAAAGAATTTCTTTAAGGTTTTCTCTAGACAGTCTGCTCTAGAAAGCTTGTCTCCACCCTGTGAAACCCAGACCTCAAAGCTCTGCTTATGGTGTTTCTAAGACTGACCTTACAGGTAGGAGAAATAGGAGGTCTTCAACATAATGCTATGAGTTGAACAGAGAGAAAGGTACTTAACCAAAATATCTAATATCTCCTTTCTACGGAAATGTGAAATTTAACTTTTAGGAACTCATTCATTTGGGTTTAAAATGGACTCCAGGAATACGCCCCTTTTTTAATAAATGAGAATTCATATGAAGAATGATAAAGCTAACTCTGATTTAGCTTTTTCACCAACAACCTAATGTAAATGGCTTTATCACAGACTTCCCCCAAGGGGCCAGGTACCAAGCAAGACTTGGGAACTTGTGAGAACACTGAGTACCTTGCTGGGAGGCTCTAAAAGGGAGGGTAAAAGTTAAACAAAAGGCACAGGCCACCCTCAAAACAAACTTCATTTATTTCACAACAGTGCCCAGGGCTGATCCTGAAAGGACTTGGAGTACCACCTCTTCTTACAGTCTCTAGAACCAACAAGTCTGAGAATTTCTGGCTCTGTTAATTAAGACTTGGTTGGATTATACAACGTGTTTTAAGATGGCTCATTTTCTGTTTTGTTTTTTTTTTCTGAGTATTTTCAACTTCATGTTGGTTGCCCGGGATACCTTTTTTATTCTGAGTTCTAAGAACTGGGAAGTTGAGTGTCTTTGCTTCTTGGACGACTTCTCCCAAAGCCACAGTGCTTCCACATTCTCAGAAAGTAAAGCCAGAATCAGGCTGGGAACCCAGTCCAGCACATGTGCTAATGAATGAGGTGTTTATATCTCCTGTGAAGTTATGTGTGTGTGTGTGTGTGTGTGTGTGTCTGTGTGTATTTGATTCTATTTAGGCTTGGCAGGTAAGTGATGAATCTATTGATTTTTCTGAAGCGAATACCCTGGCACTTAAATTGTGAGATAAGGCATTTTGGGTATTTTAAAATGAACACAGCTTCAGGTACTGGCACCAGAAACTTCTTTACCATCACTAATTATCATGGATACCGTATATTGGGGCATGTTGTATTACAAGGCATGGTAGCTCAGTCCAACTCCATTCAACAAGCATTTATTAAGCACTTGCTGTGTTCCAGACACTGTTAGGTGCTGGGAATATGGAGACAGAAATGAAGTAGTCTTGATCTCTAGAAGTTTACATTCTACTCTACGGCTTTAGCCTCATGATTCTTGCTGAGCTGCCGGTCTTCAGTGCTCCAACTGTCTGCAGAAATGTTAAGACAGTTTGACCACTATGTTAGTATCACATGTAACCGGATCCAGTCGTTTGCTGCAAAAATCCAAGCAAAACTTCACAGTGTCACAAAAAGGCAGAATAACAGTTCAGAAACCAGAAATCCAATAGCTCCTAAAATACAATTTAATAGTTATAATCAGTCTTGGAGGCATCATACACAAGGCTTTGAGGTCTGAGTTTCACAAGACAGAGGCAAGGCATTGGTGTATGTGTGTGTATATGTGTGTGTGCGTGTGTGTGTGTGTCTATGTCTATGTATGTATACAAGTGCCGTAGTATTTGCTTCAGAAAATCAATAGATTCATCACTCTACCGCTTACTTGCCAAGCTTAAGTAGAAAGAAACAAAAATTTCACAGGAGATACAAATAATCCATTCATTAGCACACATATACAAAATATAACTATGCACATAAAGATTATATATTTACTATATACAATATTAATATAGATAGATTTGTTATATCTTCATATAACATACTAATTATATATTAGTAAGTAGAACACACTAATGTAATTTACATATTATACTAATATATATGCATACACACTGGTTTGTTTTTTTTTAATTTGAGATTGAAGTTCATGCTAATTCCCTCCTTACCAACTTCATATAACCCAGAACTAATGGTAGAAAACTAGCTCCTGCTATGTAGAGATGTGTGTGTGTAAATGTGCTTGCCCTAATTACACAGCTAGTGTGTATGTCAAAGGCAATACTTGAACCCAGGTCTTCCTAACTCCAAAACTGGAACTCTATCCACTACCCAATGTCTTTTATCTATAGAACAAGTATTAAAAGTTGA